ATATATGGAGGAGAAAATAAGGATGGTTATGTGGATGAGCTTGACTGTGCTGATTAAAATTTCTGCATGTGTTTTCTATGTGCGCCAGAAACCCCCTTCCCTGCCCCGTCCCCAGGACACGCTCCAAAAACAAATGGAAGAAAACATGATAAATATAAAAAATATTTTTGACATTTTCTAAGGGGCTTCTAAAACTTTTAAGACAAAAAACAGACAAATAAATTGACAGTAAAAGTTAAAAGTCTTGGAAAAATTGATGTCCTATGAATAGTAAATCCCCTTCTGAAGTTTACCTTCAGGTACTGATTGTGCATGTTTGTATATACACGTGAATTAGGATGTTTTTCAAAGAGTTCTCTAGGAAAGCCTGAAGAGAACAAAAGCAAAAGAAGAGAAGAGAGGGGGAGAGGGAGACGGGAAGGAAGGACCTTATGTATCCAGCGGTATAGGAAGTGGGTTAAAGAAATTATGTCATACTGAGCGAGCTGACGGCGGGTCGGCAATTAAAAGTATTCTGGAAAGAGATTCACAATAATATGTATAGGAATGTTCTTTGATGAAAATATATTATGTAAATACACACACAGATGTGCTCATCAAGACATCTGGAAGCTTGTCCGCCAAAACATTAATGTAACGTTGGTTGTCTCTGGGTTAGTGGGTTATAGCTGACTTCTCAGTTTTGCACACTTTTCTCCTCCCTTTCCTCCCTCCGTGCTTCCCCCACTCCTTCCTTCCTTCTCTGCTCCATCCCTTTCTTACTATTGCCAGGTTTTAGCTTTGAAATTAAAAAATAACTATTTGAAAAACGTTATTCCAAGAACGCCCGGCTTCACGCAGTAAGCCCAGCGTGTCAGGCTGGGCTGTGATGAGCTGGCCCGTCTCCCATGTCCCACCTGCCTCACTCTAGCTCCTGGTCACCAGCTCCGGGAAGACATCCCGACCACCCAGGCCTTTCCTGCTTCTCCCTGCTCTGAGCTTCTGAGCTATAAGTGATTTAATTGATTCTCCACCTCATCTGTGCCCTTGAAATGTCGCACATGCACTGTCCGGTGTCCACACAGAAACCATCAGCTCCCTGAGGGCAGGGGTTGGGCCTTGGAATTCTGTGTCCCCCCTCGGGCTCCGGGCTTTCAGGGAGGTGGGCTGGGCCTGACTCCTCCGGAAGGAAGGGAGTACCAAAGGGAAAAGCCAAAAGCCGTGGGCCCAGGAAGTCAGCGAGGGTGTCCTTTGGCTGGGGGAAGCTGGGACAGACACCGTGAGCCCAGCACCGGGGAGCGGGGCCGAGCCCGCCTTGTGGGGAGGAAGGCGGGGGCCCGCTGTTCGTGACCGCTCCCGCTCTCCAGCTCCCCGCTCCTCCAAGGATACTGTGTCATGTTAACCCGTACTTTTTGTCTCCATATGACGTGGACAGGTTCTAACGTTCCCATGGATCAGCCCTGCTGTCGTGGTCTCTATGATTTTGAGCCAGAAAACCAAGGAGAACTGGGATTTAAAGAAGGGGACATCATTACATTAACCAATCAAATAGATGAAAACTGGTATGAAGGGTTGCTACACGGGGAATCTGGATTCTTCCCCATTAATTATGTTGAAGTGATCGTGCCTTTACCTCAGTAAATGTGTAACTCACACTTTGGACAATACTTTCATAACTGAAATGCGGACCCAACTTAACGACTTTTGTATGTGCGTTCTCTTTATAATGTATTTTGTATCCGTTTCATTTGTAGAAATGATTTTCCTGTCTTAGCTACGTGAAACTGTAGTTTTCTTTTTTCTTTTTCTTTTCTTTTTTTTTTTTTTTGCTTATTGTCCTAAAAGTCATCGGTTAAATAAATGAATGTGCTTCTTGTTGCTAAAAATAAATTGCTGTTATGTCCATGAATTGCCCGTTTATATCCCTCAGCTGCAACGGAATGCAAAATTTGAAACTTAAGAAATGCTAAATATTTTGTTTCCTGACATTTCTGATGTCATCTGGTCTTTCCTTATGTTTTAGCTGACTGTGAATCGCCCAATAAATATGACACACCATACCATGTTGGCAAAAAGCCTTGGTTATTCTTAATGTTGAATGGACTTCTAAGCGCCAGTGTGGATGTGTGGATGCTTCTTCCTGAGTCAGCAGGTCTGAGAGTGGGCCTTCACTGTCCCCCGATTCGAACACAGCACACCCTCCTTCCAATTCAGGGGTAGAAGACTCTTCCTTGCACTGTCAGGTTTATTTAAAGAGAGCTTAACACAAGCTTCTGCTGCTGCCCACTATTGGGTAGGTATTTCACGCAGGTCCTGTTGGCATGCTCAGGAGGGAGCAGGATCAGGAGTCAGGTTGAGTGCACGGTAATAAGACCGCTTGGGTTCAGAGAGCCAGCCCCTGGCCTCGCTCAGAGTATGCACTCATCATGTACTTTGATCCGGGGGGGTGCCACAGCACTCATAGGGGCGGGTATCCTTTCTCCTTCCACAGAGAAGGAGACCCATCGGATGGCTTGCCCAGGATCCAAGAGCCTGTGGTGTGAGAGGCGGAGTCTGAACTGCACCCCGCTGCCCGCTGAGGTGCCCACTGAGATCACCTGGCTGGACCTTGCTTTTCACTGACATTAGTAACAAATGCCCAGCGGTCAGGTTGGTTTAAGGTGACCAAAACCAGACTTCTCAGTCTTCTGGGTCCTTGGTACATCAGTAGAGTCACAACAACATCCTGGACATTTTTCCTCCTTTCTTTTCCCACCAGCTCCCTTCCCCGACATCTTCTCCAGAGCAGTTGTATATATAGCATCCATAATAAAATAATAATAATGACTAACATTTATTGAGTGCTTACTCTGTGCCAGGTGCTACTGTAAGCATTTAAATGAATAAACTCAATCCTCATAACAACCCATTTTGCAGATAAGAGAACTGAGATGCAGCAAGGCTGAGTAATCTGTCCACGGTCACACGGTCATGAAATGCCAGAGCTGGGCTCCTGACCTAGGTGGTCTCCCTCCCGTGTCTGTGTTCACCTCTCTCCCGTGCTACCTCTTATCCTATGTGTTTGTCCCCACATACTCACGAAGTAGCTTTTTATTTATTTATTTTTTAAAAGATTTTTTATTTATTTGACAGAGAAACACAGCGAGAGAGGGAACACAAGCAGGGGGAGTGGGAGAGGGAGAAGCAGGCTTCCCGCGGAGCAGGGAGCCCGATGCGGGGCTCGATCCCAGGGCCCTGGGATCATGACCTGAGCCGAAGGCAGACGCTTAACCATCTGAGCCACCCAGGCGCCCCACGAAGTAGCTTTTTATACTCCATCAGCTTTCCGTCGCCAGCTGCCGTATTTGAAATTGATCAAAGAGAAGTCCAGAGCCATTCTCAATGCCTGCAGTATGCTTCCATATCTTGTTTGGGAAATGAACTAATTGCAGTAACTGCACTAACTGTAACTGCAGTTATAGACGGGGTGGGGGGTCTTGTGAGGTTTCAGTAAATGGCTCCCCTCTTTCCCTTGTGAGTTCTAAATTGGGGCATTATTCAAGGGTTAAAACAGGTAAGAGCCAGTATGTAACCTGCATCATAAAAGGCTGATTCAGAATATGTAGCTTAGGATGAGAGCAAAAGCATCTGCTAACAGAGCCCCAAAGGGATCAGACATACACACCTAGTCCAGTCTGGGAAGGGTGGACTGTCGTCACCTGCTCTTAGAGGGACAGAGCCTTTTACCATGGCTGCCAACGGTCAAGAATGCACATTCCCTGCATGCAGGCCAGCTTCCGAGGAGGGGCTATGATACTTGGGCCCGGTTCCTAACCCAAATTCACAAGCACGGTAACTCAACTAGCTAGGATTATTTGGAGAAAATCGCTCCTCATTGAAACTGGAGAATGGGGAAAAGGTATTTCTATCTGGGGAATGAAGATGAGCATAGTTCAAAGAAGACTCAATGTTATCAGAAGGACAGACAGACCTATATAAAAGGGAAAATGGAGTATTTATAAGAAATATCCTTTATAACGGTTTTTAAAATGAGTTTATAACCATACAATAAAGCAAGGAAAAAAAAATGGCCTAAAGATTGAAAAGCAAGAAATAAAACTTTTTCTGCAGAAAACAAGATTGAATATGTAAAAAATTCTTAATCTACAAAAAAATGTAGAACTAATACATGTATATTTATATATTAACACATATAGTAGTATATATAATATGTATGCTGCAAATTTATCAAGATCATGAGATAGCATACAAAAATCAATATGTTTCTATATACTGGAAGCAATTATTAAATGTTAGATTTAATAATGAAAAAATGTCATAAGAGCAGCAGAAAGTACAAAATGTATTTGAACAAAAGGTATGCAAGACCTTGACACTGAGAACTACACGACTTTGCATATAAAAATTGAAGATCTAGAAAGTATTTGAACAAAAGGTTTGCAAGACCTTGACACTGAGAACTACACGACTTTGCATATAAAAATTGAAGATCTAATAAATGGACAGAGATAGTAATATTGTTAAAATTCTGTTCTCAGGGCACCTGGGTGGCTCAGTCGGTTAAGCATCTGACTCTGGGTTTCAGCTCAGGTCGTGATCTCAGGGTCATGGGATTGAGCCCTGCATCAGGTTCTGTGCTGGGCATGGAGTCTGGGATTCTCTCTCTCCTTCTCTCTCTGCCCCTCCCCCTGCTCACGCTCTCTCTCTCGCTCTCTCTCTCTGTCTCTCAAATAAATCTTTTAAAAAAAGAAGACATAGGAAAATATCTTCATAACCTGAAAGTGGGCATAATTTCTTAGGTCAGAATAAAGCACTAACCCCCAAAAACAAAACTGATAAATTAGACTTCATTAAAATAAAAAATTTCTGGGGTGCCTGGGTGGCTCAATCAGTTAAATGTCCGACTCTTGATCTTGGCTCTGGTCTTAATCCATGGTCATGAGTTCAAGCCCTGCATTGGGCTCCACACTGGGCATGGAGCCTACTTAAAAAAAAAAATTTTTTTTTTTTTTAATTTCTGCCCATCTAAGAGCGCCATTTAAAAAAGTAATAAAAAGACAAACCGCAGATGAAAGTATTCACAATACATATCTGGAAGAAAATAGTCACAATACATATTATCTCTGACTATAGACTTATTTTCAGACTATGTAAAGAATTCTCACAAGTCAATAATAAGCAGTTAAAAATGGCCCAAAGATTTGAAGAGACACTTCACAAAAGAGGGCATATAAATACCCAATAATGAACCTGAAAAGGCACTCAACATCATTAGTCATTATCAGGGACTGGCCCTTGGCTGGTACCAAAGAGACTTAGAATTATAGCGTACTGAATAAGGTATCTTCCCAGAGACATTAGCAAATGTGGGGTCTAGGGCTAAGACATTTACAGCCTAATTTGTAGCAAATAGGTTCTAGTGATCATTTCTGAAAAAGAAACAGTAGTTTAGAGCTGCATACCTACAGGAAAATAGGCAATGGGCGTGGACGGTTGTGTCCAGAGGCTTCTAAATATCTGCCCAAGGTTACCGCGTCCCTAGACATAAGAACGAAGCCGCCGAAGATATGCTGAGTGATAGAGTAGTCCGGAATATTGAAATCCACATCATTGGAGCAAGATCAGAAATTGATTAGACATATATTTAGGATGTTAAGAAAGGTAGGGTTGAAGGGAAATGGGGAGAAAAGGCACAACTGGATTAGTTTACAGTGTCCTACATGGAAGTTCACTTCTGCTCGAGAAGGAGGATGGTAGATCAGGATGGTCCAAGGTAAGTAGATTAGGGCTCCAGGGATGTCTTGTGAATCTGAGAGAGCCAGTTCATGAAAACACTGGGTCTGAGCTGAGGGACACCAGTTGCCGCGGGCATCGCTGCACGTGCCGATGGCCGGACACCAGCTTCGACCTCACCTCATGTTGGATATACTTTTGATCTCTCAAAAAACCCTGTAATACACTGTTGGCCTAACCAAAACATCCTGGAGAGAGCAAATGCCTGGGTATTTGCCTCTTGTCATTCCTTGGTCTGTAGGAAAAGTCCGTTCTGCTATAGGAGGGTAGGCACTTAGAAATCAGTACTTGATTTAAGGAGCCGATTACTGGTGTCTGGCCATGCCACATATCCCCCCAGCTGCCTCCAGGGGGCAGTCTTACAAGGGCAAGTCAGTGGCAACCACTTCGTCTGATGAATTCTTTTCCTTAGATCCTCCATAGATTTCTTTGAAACAACCACAGAATCCTATAAGCCAGACAGTATTATGGTTACATCGCGTAAGTGTCCATGTTGCAGGCAAACAACAGTTCGGTAACTCACCTGGTTAGCAGGGCAACTCAGCTCGATTGGAAGGGACGTAGAATATGATATACTGAGTGAAATTCAAAATTTGATGGGAATGTTGGGCTTTTAGGAAATGTGGCAGGTAAAACATAGAAGGACAAGGTCAGGAGTAGATGCTGATCTCAGACCCCGGAAATCTGCCCAGGAGGCAGACCTGGATCCCTGTGCATCTGCATTTTTCGAGGGAGACGAGGAACTGGCCGTGATTACCGTCATAGAGGCTGACTATGTATTCAGGGGAAAGCCCGGGTTTTGTGAGGGGGACTGGATAACACTTTCAGAACCACCAAGGGGCCTGGGG